TATATATATATATATATATATATATATATATATATATATATATATATATATATATATATATATATATATATATATATATATATATTATATGGAATGTACAGTAAGATCACTAAAAACTAAAGACAATAAAAAATGATTAACAATAAAAAGTGAAAACAAATTACAAAATTAAACACACGAAAGTACATTACATTTACAATTATGCTCCTACTACGGGGTGATGCGGTCTTATTTAAAGTTTAAACGTACAATGAGTATGCTATGTCGACAACATGTTTGTTTTTATAAATTTGGCCAATGAAATATTCATTGCAATGTTTTTATTTCCCATTATAATTATCAATTTGTTCTCTTTTGTCAAATTTGTGTAATTATTTATTTGCTTTCCGGTTTCAATATAATGTCTAACCATTTACAATGATTATAAGGTACATGAACTAATGATATTGCCTTGACAATTTACCAAGTAATGTATGAGGTCATTACAAACTCTCTTTCTCATTCTAGCTAAGTGCTTAAATATTGTAATTATATAGTTTTACTAACCATATACCGGTATTCTATATTTATTTTATATTTAAAATGGTTCAATGAATGTATTCGTCCAGAACATAATTCCGAATTTCATTATTGATATTCGTATATTAAACTCCAATAACATCATACTGGATAAAGAGTCGATTTTACGTCGATAGTCCATCAAGCATACATCGAGCATAGGACCAACACTGAACGTCATACTTATACAATTTACGGGCTTCAAGTACGCTTTATATGTTTTGTCGACTACGTCAATAACGCTACAGACACCGTCGAACGTTCACCTGTAAACACTTGGAATTAAATCAAATGGATACTTGGAGGGTTGTCATAGTTGTTTTATAACAATCAACTGCGAACGAGGACGACACAATGGCGGATAAATCTGACATGTTCCAGAAACCTGCAAATTGTTCACTTCAAGGATTTTTAGATGATTTAACAAAGATCGGGTAATTGCAATGTCAAATAAACAATAGTTTGTTTAACATACACGACACGTGTAACAAGGAACAATTTTACGTTTGAAACTTTCACGCAAAAAAACATGCTTTTATCGCTTAATTGCCCGCAGTTTGTATCTCGGCGGCTGCAATGTCAGGTGCATCCTGGCCTCTATCGGCGGTAAAGGATATTTCTCGTCTATCACCAAATTATATTTCTGCACAATAGACGATAGTATGAGAAATAACTTCATTTTTGCGAGTTGCTCCCCCAAACAAACACGAGAACCTATAAATAAAAAATATAGATTGGAAAGGAGTAAAGTGACAAAGCAGGCTCTAGATGTTTCCTCTACAGTTACCAATGATATATCAATGCTGAGAAATTATTTATTTATTGAATAGACGATATAGTATATAATGTGTGAAGCTTAGGGTGTTTTTTTACTTTTTAAAACGAAATCCCAGAAATGTTCCTCATGTTGGGTTGTTACGGATAAACTATCCGTAGGGATTTTCATTCAATAGAAACAGTGATCCACGCCTAATGAGATCATGGACAACACACAAAAACACTACATTACGAAGACGAAAAAATTATTGGCGTTACGTACGTGATAATTTGAGTTTTATGTTGAAGTAGCCAAGTATACTTGGTTAATATTGCATTATTAAAATTCACTCACCTGAACCAAATGGAATGAATACATCAGGTCTGACGAATTTACCATGTGAATCCAGAAACCTGTCTGGGTTGAACTGATCCGGATTAGACCACCGGATTGGATCGTGCAATACACTATATATGTTAGGCCACACAAAAGTATCTTTAGGAATGTCGTAACCAGAAACAGTTGTATCACATGCAGTCCATCGCGGAATAGACAGCGGAACTGTACTCGCCATTCGAAGTATTTCAGTAATCGTGGCTTCGGTATAGGGTAGATTTGGTTTGTCACATACTTTTGGAGAACGATTTCGACCAACGATGGTATCTAACTCATCTTGGATTTTTGACTGCACGTTCGGGTTTTTCACAAGGAACAGCAACCCCCACAACAATGTTGTAGTTGTTGTTTCTGTTCCAGCGCCAAATGTGTCAAGAATTAGACCGTATATTTGATAATACTTGAAGTTTAATCCACGATCTCCCATACTCTCATTGGGGTATTGTTGATTCCATTCTTTTTCCATCTTCAAAAATGCATCAATTAAATCTCTTAGATTATTTGGATCATATGTCTGATCGTGTTCTTTGATGAATGGTTCAATGAGTTCATAAATTAGGGTGTTGTTCCGAGTTTGTTTTGGTCCCAAGAATATATCTAACAGTCGGCCAGAACCGGGAAACAGAAAACCTATCCCGAAATATGTAGGAGCGAGGTTGAACAAAGTGTCGAGACAATTCATACATTTCACAAAACGTTCATCAGTGTAATCAAACCGCTCACCAATTGTAATAGAGCAAATTACATTGTATACAGAATTGGTCACGTGAGCTATAGGATCAAATGGTCCACCATGGTGGTCTTCAAACTCGATCAGAAGATGTTGAACTTCGTCTAAGATTCTTTCCTGCATTACCGACTTGCCCATTCCAAATGTACGCAATGCACTGATGAACATTTTACGTTTGAATTTCCAGGGCTTCCCATTCGCCAATACCACCCCTACAAGTAAAAGAAATGAATAAGCACAACATAAATTACCTTTCTGATTCAGTTTAACCTTCATTCAACTATCGAGCAATCCTGTCAAATACATGTTATTGAACATAACGATGATATGTTGATATTTTTCAATTTAAACCAAAAACTATATTCATCTAAAATGTCAATTGCACGATCACTATAACAGTGTTCCAATGTTTTCATACTCAAAAGCAGTGCAAATGTGCATGAAATATTCAATACATGAAAGAAGTCTATATTGTCTATATTTTGTTCAATACTATCGTTGTATCTAGTGCGGTGGTACATATATTTGCTAGTTGCAACAACTTGGTAACTATTGTGCAGGGGCGAACTATTTAGAGTTGGTATATATGAGTATAAACACTAGCGAGACTGGCCACTTTCACTCTAATGCGAGAACGCAAGAAAGAGAAATACATTTCTTGTATTCGTGTTTGATACTTTTATTTTTTATTTTATTTTCACGAATTACCCAGTTTACAATTGATTATAACGCTAGGCGCGTTTGAGGGCTTAAAAGGCTATAAAAAGACGCATCATAGTACCATTTCTTGAAAGATGTTGAGACCTTTTTGTCCCAGCCTAACCATTTCGATCACAGGGATGTCAAGTACTATCAATTGTATGTATTTCAAAACATGTCCCTTCAATAACACTATCTCAAACGCTATTATGGAGAATCCCCTCGTAAACTTATTAAAACTAGAATGAAAAAAACACACCCATTAATCAAAAATTACAAATCAGATACTTTACAGAACATACCTCCCCCAATAATAATCTAAACTAAGTTTGGCATTAAATAAAATCATTATTTTTTTCAGGCTTTTTCGAACACCAGCACTGGGTACGAATGTTTTACGGAGTTGTAGTTGTCATTATTTTTAAACATTAAATTGATAAATTTAGCGTACATTTTAACAATTTAAAGTTAACTGTTCTATTTGTGTGCAAAGGTTGGTCCCTCGATTACTTTACAGAGTTCATTGTTCATCACAAATCTGAGGTTGATTATGCAAATGAGGCTGTTGTGTTGTATTTGTTGACACTATATTTGTGAGCTAAGTAAAGTTTGATTATTGAGGGCGCCATTTAATTTGTATTACACATAATTATTGATATTGTAGACATTGATATAAACAGGATTTATTAAGGATATTTGCATAATTCCCATGAGACTTAGCACTGAGAAGTCAGTTTAGGTTAGTAACATCATTGGACTCATCTGAAAAACATCTTTCTTTCACCTCTTTGACTTCCAAATTTTCAAAAACAAGGTCAAACAAGGCTAATCTAAATCTGTATACATTGTTTTGACATGTACAAATTATATATAATGGTATATAACAGAAATGTTTACAAATATTGGTGGAGCAATTGGATTTAATGTTTGAAAACAAATACACCAATGAAGAATATACACAAATTGTTTTCAAGACGATATAAAACACCCCCTGATGAGTACCCTAACCTTGACTGCCTTGATTTCACAAGGGTTAATGCCCCTACACCAATCTCTCAAATTCAGAATGTTAAAGAATAGAACAACCACTCCATTAATGTATTTGATTCAGACAAGAGTGGCAATCGTACACCAGCTGCAAACATCAGACACCGGGATAGAGAATGTCAAAAAAGGTCAAATCAAGCTGACTTTCAAGAACAATCATTAAGAGCTCCCAGTTCCCCGTCATCTGTACTGAATTTGAGGCCCTTACAACAAAGATTGCTCGACTCATCAAAACAATAACAAGAAACACATGTACAGCAGCTAATGGTATATCGTCGTATGCCTGATTATACAAAGCCTCTGTGAAGAGGATCTAACGAAGTAGGGAAGTGTGCTAAATAAATATGATGAATGTCCACTAAACAGTTCTCATTTGATTATTTTGATGTCAGAATTAAAACAAAGATAGACACAATGTCACTTATCCATGGATAAATTGTGGAGTTGCTGCAATATTTTTTTAAATGGTGTTTTGACGTCCGTTAAGGATATTCTAAAAATATTTCACATTTTGCTGTGTGATTTATTAATTATATGAAATACATGCAAATATGCTAATTTAGTCATAATATAATGCGGTTTGTTAATTTTGTCTGTTTTACGTATATACGCATGATATCGCCATGAAATGTTCATCGAAAATTGATAGATATAAATAAAATTCTAAAAATAATTGTTTAATTTTTGCCAAAAAAAAAATGTACTGAATCCTTAATGAGACAGTAACTAGTAATATAGTAATACTATGCTATGGTTTTGCTATGAGTGTTTTACCCCAAATATTATAGTTTTATCTTTGCACGACTCTCTGTGCCGGATAAAGGACAGTTTTTTTTTTCAAATGAAGGCATAATTTGCTATTTATGTATATTTAAGACTATTAAATTATTATAGTCGGTTTATTTGTGGCCACGTGGTTATACACTCTGAATATGCGTGTATGTCGTTCTCGGGTAAATGGTGTTAAAACTACACAATTTATCGTTTGAAACCCCTGTATCGTAGCCATGAACAGGCAATATATGTATGATATTACAAACAAAAACGCTTATCCGACTACAATTTTGCACATAGAAGAAAATTAGAGCTCCATAACACGACTCGAATTTTCAGTGACGTCATGAACACGTGTGTTTTCGAATGTAAATATAAATTAAGGACCTTTAAAAGAACTACATATAGCTGTGACGCCAGATAGTGCTGAGTCGAGTTCATTTTACATTTCATAAAATAATTAAGGTTGGTGTTGGAAAATAGTTTTGTGGTGTATATACACGATACATGAAATAATCAATACTTGCCACCAATCAGCTTAAGTAATTACGAATCAACTTACACTGTAAATACAAATCTTACCGGTATTTAACGTTCCTAATTTGACAGGCAACTGTGGTCTTTCTGAAAAGCTGTCAGAGTTTTTCACCAGGGCTTCGTGTATCGTCTCATAGCTATTCAGCACGACAATGAGTTGTTGACCAAGATACAAGGAAAATACATCACCGTATTTACCAGCCAGGCTGCGTAGTGTCTGAAAGGTGGTCGGATTGGCTAAACCAATCAGATTTTGAATTAACAGAAGGCCTCGAGGACCCGGCGGAAGATTAGTATGTTTTGTGTTTTGTAGACGTTGTATCATCCAATATATACATATAAAGACGACCACAGTCACTAAGATCATTTGAATATCGAATAAATCCTGCAGCATTGTAGTCAACTTTTCAAACACGACCATTTTGAAATTGGGCATATATCAACCCGGAACAATGCATATACGACTAATAGACGATTACCACACGCAACATGGCATTGAATATACACCGAAGACAATATAAAGCTGGCACGCAATAACTTCATGCAATAGAAGCTGGCACGCAATAACTTCATGCAACAGAAGCTGGCACGCAATAACTTCATGCAATAGAAGCTGGCACGCAATAACTGAATGTAATATAAGCTGGCACGCAATAACTTCATGCAATAGAAGCTGGCACGCAATAACTTCATGCAATAGAAGCTGGCACGCAATAACTGAATGTAATATAAGCTGGCACGCAATAACTTCATGCAACAGAAGCTGGCACGCAATAACTGAATGTAATATAAGCTGGCACGCAATAACTTCATGCAATAGAAGCTGGCACGCAATAACTTCATGCGATAGATGCTGGCACGGTTTGACTTCATGCAATAGAAGCTGGCACGCAATAACTTCATGGTTTGTTTCGTTTTTCTTTTTTTTTGCTGCACAATAATTAATAGTATGGCTCAAATCATAACATTAATGTATCTTGCTAATTTACTTTGTTGTTTAACCATGCAGTTTGAAAACAGTTATGTTAAAATAAACTTTACTAATTTATCGTATTCTTGTTCGTGTTAAACCTGTTGAAGTCCTTCTAAAATTAAGGTTAGTTACACATCTTATAAAGCAATCATAATACAAAAAACAAATAAATTATTAATATATCACACTCCAGCGCAAAACCACACATTGCCACTATGTACCTTACGCTCTAAACACAGTCAATATTTCAGATTGTGCAAAAACAAACAAATTTAATCAAATCGGTAGCAGTAATTTTATTATTTTTCAATATTTAACATCAACCGATAAAATACTAAAATGTGTCAGCTTGTAATGACGCCATAAACTTGGCCAATATTCAACATTTAAACAAAATTCGATAATATATTTATTTAAATCAGCTGCTGACATTTCAAAAATTAATTTATCTTGTAATGTGATATATCATTAAAAAAAAGTACTCTTCAACATCCGTAGCCACGCCCAAATCTTTGTATATATTTATGTTTTTAACAACTACTGCAGTCATTAAAAACACTTTCCCATGTGATATATCAATCGACTCGGGGAGAAATATAACAGTAGATTTAAAATATGTTAATCACACAACACGCCTCCGCTCTCCAATTTTTCCCTGAACCTTGCTAATTTGTGACGTTTTCGGTCAAATAATCTTGATATCGCGTATATTCGACCATTTCAACATCATATTTACTTTTTCAAAAATGTATCAATCTTATTTATGTCACAAATTACGTATTTTTAATCTATGCATATTTTACTTTCGATTGATATATCATATGAGAAAATAAATATGACTTTGCAATAGCTGTTACGGTTTGAGTAAACATAAACACAAATACAAAGATTGCATTAGTTGGATTAAACACGAGATCACCCGAGCGTGGTAAGAGAGTGGCAATAGATTGTGCAATATGGTGACTTAATCTACTGTTATTTGTTTCTCGATTGATATTATATTATCTCACGAAAAAATAAATTTGAATTTGCAATGAGTGAAGGACGTTAGCGATCTGGGCTGGACAGTTACTGGAAAGCTATTTATCTAATGTTGTTTTTTGAATTGACTGCAGCCGATTTAGTAAAATGTCAAATATTGATCGAATAGTAGGGCAGCGTCTTTTCTCCCAAAATAGCGAGCATATAAGTGTTATATAATTGAATGTTTTATTTAAATATTAATACCAGCAATTACCCGTTTTATGATTTGTATCAGACCATAACTGCGTAGAGAAAAATAAATACAAACAAACGCTGTTTTACGACATTATGTGCCAGCTTTTACTGCATGTTGTTATAGCGTACTTACTAGCTTCACACTGCTTTCCAGTGATACAAGTCAAAGTGACCTTAGATATACCTCTAGAGTATATGCTCACGCATTGTTACAAGATAAATACGATCTTTCAACCCCGACCTTTAAATATGCGATTTGATCATTCTGTTCTGATTATTATGTCATTGTTCTGACAATACACAATAAAAGACTGTATCAACCACTACCATTTAACAGAAAGAATAACAATATATATAACAAACAACGAGCCGCTTTATTTATTCAGTTGTTTATATTCGCGTACGTCCAGCCCTGACTAATATGTTTTGTTTAATGTACTCGGTAATGGTAGATTCATTATAACATGTAGCCCAGTTATAGCAGTGGGTACAACAAATAGCAGTGGAAGCTGCAATATTGTCCAATATTACCTAACATCATATTAAAAGTGTTTTTCATTAAAATGTACGAAATGTGTAATAGGTCTAACCCACATATATATATATATCATGGATTACATAGAGCCAAACGTTTGCCCACAACCTTGCAGGCAAGAAATTGCAGATTGTTTGTGATGTCCTCCAATGGATAAACAATATGCTAATTTGCATATATAGGGAAACGACGACGCAAATGCCTGAGTTCATCATTATTTGTGCAGAAAATGCTCAACTATCATATCATGTGATATATCAAATAAAAACGTATTGTAACTTAAAAGTAGCCATTAAAATTCTGGATAGATATAGATGGTAATATATGTATAACTTAACGCATGCTGCGGCTCATGTATTAGCATATAGAATTTTATCGTTATCTTTCCAAGTTGTGGGCGATTTATTCATCCTCCACCCCAAGGTTTTCCCACTCGTAACAATGTGGGGTGGTTCAAGAAACTGGAAACGCGCCGTTTGCAATATCAGCTGATGACGCTACCATAACCGAATCCCAAATATTACAAACTATCAGGTTGTTAGCTTATATTGTATATGCTTGTAATGAATATTAGGAGTGTTGTAGGTGATGTAGAGTGGAAACATGTGATCGGAATGATACACCTACAAACAATTCATGCATTTGTGCGACTAGGAAACGGAAATGTTCAGCGTGTGTGCGGTTATAATATTTCCTGTTTTTTTCACTGAATTTCGATATAACCGGAAATAGACGAAAAGTAGGAAGAAAGCAAATCCTTTAATTTCACTTTCGGATAAATTTATGATATACTTTTCATCAACAATCATACATTTATTGTTATATGTCAATGTTATATCCAATTAAAGCGATTAAAGGACAGCTGTTTATCAGTATCGCAATTATTTTTCGTTCTCGACGAAGTACATAAACATTATAACAGTATTAAAGCGGGGGAGTCGTCACATACGCATGCTTCTGTTGACCATAGCATGTCATTGTTTACAAACACGCGTCTACCCATGAGCCTTTGCGTTTTTAGCATGCGTTGTTATCGTCGCTTAGTGACGACCCTTCCGCTTTGAGTAGAAAATAATACAAGACTATTACGAGAATATCTCAAAGTATGCACGAAGACAGTACAACGGGAGTATCGACCGACGGTGTACTGTCTGAGTACACCTTTTCCTTCATCATGGGAATACTGAAATTCAAAATGTTTAGAACAGAATCAGCGAACTACTTTGTGTTGAGTCCGGTCAAACCTTTGTGGGAGCCATGTTTGTTTTTATTATTAAAGGACGCTTACGTGCGTAATCATTCCATATTTGGAATTCCTAATGTGATAGGATGAAAATACCCCGTAAAATACCGCAAAATTATATATTATTATATATATGCCGTCTGTTTTTCAATCAAGATATTACCCCATAAGCTTAGCATTATTGTGCCCAACCAGCAGTACACAAAACGCATACTGTTGTCAGGGAAGGATTGAGACTATAACCGGGGATGGTATGAACCGAAGATCTTTATTCGGAGTCTTGACATCAGATAAGTACAAATGTTGTATCTGGGCGTTGGCCCAACGGCCAAGCCCAGAGAGCAAACAAGCGGACTAGGTCCGGTGTCTCTCCCTGAGTCTATATCTGTGTCTCTCTAAGTCTCAAGTAACATGTCTTTTTATAAGCGAAATCACGTGATCCAAATTGAACACCTTTTATGATAGGAAAGTGATTCAATACATCCGCATAAGTTTCCCGAAATACATTGAATAAAATACATTGAATACAAATTACAAAAATGATATTAGCACCTCCACATCGTGGGTAAATTTGTCGCAGGTGATAATGTTCACGAATGATATTGTTACAAGTGGTGTCATATACAGCAGCTGCCCATATAACACATACTTGCTAAAAGCGACACGGATATTGTTTTATAAACCACGCTTGTAGATAGCAATGTGAAGATACGCTTGATATTGTTTCAATACAAGCGCCACCCGTGCGAATCCTGACCAAGTCCATGACGGGTGTCAGTACGAGCGATATGACATGGTACAATCGATTTAAATTAAAGCGTCCTCGCTTTACGATAATGTATTAAAAAAATTGAAATTGAAAAAAAAAACTTAGTGAGAATATACTGAAATCAATATAGCTTCAAACAGCAATGGTGAATAAGCATACTTAGCAAGAATCGATATATCTTTAGCTCTAGAAAAATGTACAAGGATACAATTGAGCACAGGGCAAATCATATTCAAATTAGCCAATTAGCATACTTAGACAGTTCAATTAAACTCGGAACAGTGATTCTAAATCTTTTACCCATGTTGCATTTCTACTGAGTTCCAGCGATTGGCGATGCAATAAAAATACAGGCTCGTATGATATTATGTCTAACGTATTTATTAGAATATTAACAATTATCATAAGATTATAATGTCACCATTGTACAGTAATATATTGGCACGCAAAACTCACTTCCATTATCTGATATAATCTGAAAATAAAATGTCTTTCGAATGTTACAAAACGCATTTACCTTCTTTTGCCCTAGATCTTTTTTATTACAAAATGTATCAAGGCTCATTACATTACGTTAACCAATCAAAATGCTGGATGGTGCCAACGTGTTCAAATTACCGTAGCGCATTTAAATATGTTAATGACAACTCAGCGACTTCATGGTGAAAAAAACACGCAAGAGA